TTTTTTTTGTTCTCTTTTAGTTGATGTGAAGATGTATGTTAACTGCTTAACAAGATGATAGACTTCTCAAAGCCTAGAACACAAAACCACTGGGATTCTCAAAACCTGAACTGATCCCTTTCAGTTGATTCAAATCTAGAAAACAAAAGAAAGAAGAAGCCGGCCCTAGCCGAGTATGAAAGGAATTACAACTCCATACGTGAATAGCATTAAATGATACATCTGCTGTTTCTCTGACCCATGAACAGTGCAATGAAGTACGGTCACTCGCAAAAACAGAGTGGTTCTTTCATTTCAGGTCAAGAGGTTTAGAATACATTTGGTAATATTGCCATCGCAAGTTAGGTGTTGGTCGCAGTGCCGAAAATTATTTCCAGACTCGTAATCTCATTGGATGTTATCTGTTTATGTTTTCTATGCTGTTTGAATTCAAAAAATGCTATGATAGAAAAACTATAATTCACTCTGGAAGAACTTTTTGAAACTTCATCGCTATTTTTGAAAAATTCTAGTTTGGCGACGTATTCAAGAGGATGCAAAGGGGCTTCTGCTTCCTATGATGGTCGATGATAAAGGTATCTCGTTTGCTTTCAAACATTTATGTTTATATTTTATTGGTTTTATTTTTACTATTATCACTCTCTTATTATATTATTACTGTATTATGTCATTATTATATTTGAGCCATCTACACGATCTCTGACGTTGGACGAGTTATTAGAGTATGGAACAAAAGAAATGGTGCATTACTATGGCAGAAGTCTATTGGCGAGATAGCTGAAACCAGGTTTCTCATCACCTAGAAAAGTCTCTTTGCATGAATAAATAAGATTTAGTGCGCAACTTAGCCTTGTTTTGACCGAACAGTCGCTCGTAGTTGCCAATTCGAGAACACTTTTCTGCTTTTCAAAAAATGGTGGCATAAAATGGAGCGTAGGTGTTCAAGACAGGTTTGTTCTAGCCTTTTAATTTAGTGAGTCGACATCCTTATAATTCCTTTTAGTCAATGGTCGAGAATTAGCGTCTTAAAAGAAGTTGTACACCATCTATCCATCTCAAACGGCGTTCTCACTGTTAGGGATATTTTACTGAGTACGGGTGAAGCTAAAACGCCTAAATCAGTTGTTATCAAATCTACTTCATGGGAAAAGTAAGTTTCTTTTTATTTATGGCTGCGTTTCTCTAATTATAGCATTTGCAGGTGCATAGTAGCCCAAGGTTTGGTAATATGTGCTCTCAACGACTCGCTGTTTTCGGTGGATTTTACGTCTTCAACTTTAGATGTTTCAGAAAAGGCAATTGGAGAAAACATAAGGTTTCCAGCACTCCAATTTGTCTTGGCTTTGCTCAGGCTCTCAGAGATGAAAAAATTTTAGGTCTATTAGTGTGTTAGATGAGCGTCGTTTTCTGGTGAAGTGTGCCACTTCTGCTCTAATTTTTGCCGTGTCTAAGAACGCCTTTGATAAGGCGAGTTCTATACGTGTATCTTATCTTGCTTGTGCCATTTGCAATCAGCCTTATGCCATTTGCAATCAGCACCATATTCCTGTTTTTCAATTAAGGTTTCCACCACGTTGGATCGTAAGTTGTAAGAATCTACAAAATTTTTTTCTATTTTCTTTTGATTTTCTGTTTGCAGAGGGAGTTTCTCCCGTTACCGGTAGTCAAAATGTAACATTTGGAACAGAGATTAATTACTTGATGGGCGTTTGCTTCAAAACAAAGCTCATATGTTATTGAATCAGCTA